GAAGGAATGCGCTGTAGGCCCGCGTGGCCCCAGTCTCTAAACGCCAATCCATTCCTGGCCACCTGATAGATCCTTTGCGTGTAATTTTACACGTTCGGAAAATTTACACGCCAAAAACGGTATAAATGATTTATACGCCAAATTGGGGTGTAAAAAAATTACACTTTTTTGTGTAAATTCTGGCGTGTAAATTTTGTCCTATTTTGTTCAATGGGCCAAGCTGTGCCGAAAAGGTGTTTTGAAAAACAGGCACTAGGAAGTGCGACGTGTCGAAAAAGTAGTGGATTCCGAATGCCGGGCAGGCCGACGTGGCGATAGATTCGTATAGATTCCGATAGCGAGATTTGCCGACAGAGACAACATGTACAGTTGTGACTCCGAAGGCCGACATGGCTTCTCTTGCTTCGGTGAAAAAACAAAAGAAAAAAAGAGAAAGAGAGAGCCAGAGAGCGAGAGTATATCCTCTAAACCACAGGAGAGCTCCTGAAATCAGTTCTTGCTTGTGTGACTTGTGCATGATTGTCCGTGAGACAGTATCACCTACCCCCCGCCATACATCACTGCAGGGCCACTGGCCTGCGGCTTGAGGGCAAGTCCCTGCACCATTCCACGGACCCAAGTGCGATGACGGCCACCGAGGTCCGGGAGTCCTTGGCCAGAGTTCGGCGATTCCGCGGGCTATTCCACCGTTTGTCGCTGGCAAACAGTGTGGAGTCACGTGCTAAGCAACCTGCTCAGAGAAATGCCTGGGGAAGCCGCGAGTTCCTTCTCGGCCACTCTTCGCGAGGTCCACAAAGGGGTCATCTCAAAGCAACGGGCTTTCGGGGGCGGCACAACCCGGAAGCACGACCCCTGAGGAAGGTGCACACCCCTCAGGCATGGCGGATCCACCCTGGCCGAGTGGAGGTGAGACTTACACTGGTGTTTGCAAAGACCACGGGGGAGGCCACACATCTAAACAGCATGGCTTGTCTTGTTTTGAACAAAAAGAGAGAGACAGCCAGAGAGCGAGAGAGCGAGGTATATATCGGGCAGGGCTATAGGGTTCCCCTGTTCCTTTCTTGGTGTTACACCGAGTTAGGGCAGGGGAACCCTATAGCACTTGGCAGGATGCAGTTTTATTATATGTATCCTAGACCGCAGAGCTCCTGAAATCCATTCTTGCTTGTGTGACTTGTGCATGATTGTCTGAGACAGTATCACCTACCCCCTGCCATACATCACTGCAGGGCCACTGGCCTGCGGCTTGAGGGCAAGTCCCTGCACCACTCCTCGACCGGCAAGTCTGGATGCAGTTCCAGACGGTAGCAGTCGACCTCCTCCAGGAACCGGCTCACGGAGGTCAGCTGCTAGAGGCCAAACAGGCCAAGAAAGCGGTCGTCCACAAGGGGATCATGAAGGAGGAGGAAGCAGACAAGCTTCCGTCCGGGCTTTCGGGGGCGGCAAAACCGGAAGCACACACTCCTGTGACCTTGTGGAAGGAAGGTGCACACCCCTCAGGCATGGCGGATCCACCCTGGCCGAGTGGAGGTGAGACTTATACACTGGTGTTTGCAAAGACCCCGGGGGAGGCCATCTAAAGCCGGAAGGCATTGCGAGTGCACTTGTGATTTTCATGCCGGGCCGTGTGTCTCTTCTCAAGCCCGCCCCAGTCCCTTTCTTGGTGTTACACCGAGTCAGGGCAGGGGTGGGTCTCTCGCACTCAGCAGAGGACATCCTTTTTTGCACTTATCCGTGTGTCTCTTCTCAAGCCCGCCCCTGTCCCTTTCTTGGTGTTACACCGAGTCAGGGCAGGGGTGGGTCTCTCGCACTCAGCAGAGAGGACATCCTTTTCTGCACTTATTACGAACATATAATATGGATGTTTTTTTCTGGTTTAGGATATATATATATATATATATGTATATATGTCGGGTTGTCGATACATATATATATATAGGGTGATTGAGAGACGAGCAGAACAAGTTCACAATCCTGTATCGTTGATAGATGCACAGTGTGCTTTGATGTGACCGCCCTGGATGGCCGGCTATGGTGTGGTGGCAGGACTTGCTCGAACAGTGAATGTGCTCCCGGTTTTGGTGATCTTTTCATCTTTGTGTGGCAGGACAGGCAAGCCGAAGATCTGCGGAGCTCCTCGTGGTCCTGGCAAACATTCTCGGTCTTTTCGTGGCAGGACCTCCGAGAGAGAGAGAGAGAGAGAGAGAGAGAGAGAGAGAGAGAGAGAGAGAGAGAGAGAGAGAGAGAGACAGAGTTGCTTGTGTGCTCACAAGACCGGATGCCAAAGCATGTTCACACATGTGCCTGTGTGTGTGGCTTCGCGAATCAGCGGCAGTTTTTTTTTGGTGTGCAACCGTCGGACGGGTTGCGAAAGCATGTTATGTTATTGACAGGTTTTCACAGACATGTGACATGTGGTAGCATAAGCAGCTTTACTTTCTTTTTGTGCCCGCCTGTCCCTTTCTTGGTGTTACACCGAGTTAGGGCAGGCATCTATAAGATGGTTAGCGAATGTATGTTATTGTTATATAGCTTAGATGTGTTTTTAATTGTAGATTTTGTTTGTGTGGGCACCTTTTATATATAGATCTAAATTCGTAGCTCCTCGCCATGGAGCCGGCCAGCGGGAGTGTGAAGAAGTTGGACAAGACGGCCCTGGAGGGGCTCGATGCCCGCACCGAGAGCACGAAAGTGCCGGAAGATGTTCTGATGGAGGAGCCAGACCCTCCGTCCGACAACGAGACCATGAGCACCGCAAAGCGGTCCAACAGCAAGCCGGAACATGGAAGAGGCCCTCTGCGTGAGGCGAAACAGGCCAAGAAAGCTTTGATCCACAAGGGGGTCATCTCGAAGGAGGAAGCAGACAAGCTGCCCGTCGAGGAGATTTTGGAGATGGTGAAGAAGTACCGCAAGGGCAGCGGCAACCTGACGGAGGCTGTCTTGGAGCAGCTCGCGGAGAACCAGAAGGAGGACCTCTTCAAGAAATTGTTTGGAGAGTTTCAAGAGAGCCCGGGCATGAAAATGCCAACGATCACGGACGAGCAGGTGGAGGAGGCGGACAAGGAACTCACTTCCTTGTTCCTGTACCAGAAGTGTCCCTTTTGCGACAGGTTTGTGGACGAGTGGCACGTGAAGAATAAGGACCACAAGAGTTACATGAGGGAGCACCTCAGGTCGTCGTACCTCCTCACGGACCCAACTGCGATGACGGCCACCGAGGTGAGGGAGTCCTTCGCGAGAGTTCGGCGATTCGGCGGGGGATTGCACCGTTTGTCGCTGGCAAACAGTGTGGAGTACTGGGGCGATGTGGAGAAGCTTCCGTCCTTGGTGCGGAGCATCCATGCCACCAAGGCGATGCAAATCAAATACGGCACGTCCAAGACCGCGAAAACGCACCTCCTGACAAAGGAGCAGGTGGGCTTGTGGGTAAAAAGGAGAACCAATAAAAAATAACGATAAGGTTTATGCTTACGTGCGAGGGACGAGTTAGTGTTTTATCACGATCATGGAAAACAAACAAGGAACGTGTTTGTTTAGGCAGAAACGTTTTGCTGCATTGAGCATGTGTGATGTGCCTGCATGTGAACGTTGCTCAAGTCGGAGCCGGGCAGAAAATTTCGAAAGGCCATTTTGGCTCAAGTCGGAGCCGGGCAGAAAATTTCGAAAGGAAATTTTCGAGAGGGGAGAGTCCCACAAGTGGACCGGGAAGGGTCCTCAAAGAAGGAAGGTTTGTGGTTGTCTCCTCAGCGTGCGAGACAACAATATTTGTGTCGTTGAAGAGTGTAAGCGCGTGATTGCAATGGCATCAGATCAAAGAGATTCTGCTTCGGATATCCACAAGCAAGTGACAGTCTCAGACAGGGTTTTTCCTTGCAAGCTTCGTTGCATAGTCGCTCTTGACCGGGTGTTGGGGCCAACGATCAGCTCCACCCTACTGCTCATGCCTCAGAGAGAGAATGCACGCAGTGTTCGCACCGACACTGCAGGCGCAGTATTACAGGTTAGAAAAGGCATAGCTCTTTCCCGGGAATCCGTGCTCGCCTCAAGCCATGTGCAACAAGCGGAGACACGTATGAGCATCATGTCAGTGCTCAGATGAAAAGAAAGGCAGGTGAGGCAGACCTGCCCTGGGACACACCTCACGGATACATTTTCCGAATGCAGGTACAAGCGAATGATCGTATTTCTCATAACACGGCCGTCACGCTCGACATCCAGCTTAGTTGCAAGGACATTGTGGATCAAGCGAAGTGGCTTGTTGCTCAAAGACTCTTCGAGCTGTTTGGTCGTTTTCCGAAGTTGAGTTCTTTTCACCTGGTTCAGGACGGCAGGCACCTTAGTTTTTCAGCGCCAGTGCTTGTAGCGAATACGCTATCACCTGTGATCTTCGTGCGAAATGCCTAAAAGCAGGAGTCTGCAGTATGTGCTCTGCGGTCTTGCTTCCGTCGCAGAGAGTTCCAAGTGACCGCAGTGGCCCATCTGACATCAAGCCGCACAAGGCGAATCCGAGGTCCCCGGTGTCGCATGGAAATCGACAGCTCGGATTACAGCGGCGATAGCCCAAGTACGCTCAGTCTCGTCAGCAGACATGTTACTGAGCTCGAGCGCCGAATTTCCACCATCCAGGCGCATGTTAGAGCGTGCGAAAGGAGGATACTCATTCTTGAACATCGCGCAGAAGCAGTCGAACCTGGCACCCCACTCAACGCCCAGGGTTACTTGCCCTGGTTCATCAGATGCTGCTGGAGCCGCGCACTGCCCTGACTCACCATCAGGGTATGTCTGCATCATCAAGGCAATCGACAGGCAGTGGGTCGGTCACTGAGAGAACACCTGCGGTCTCCCTGATGACGCGAGTTTGAATAAGCAAAAGTGTGCGTTTCTAGTGCTCCAGAGTATTGTGCAGTTCTGTCAGGCATCCCAGCGGAGATGTGTTTGTCAGGGACAGCTCCAGGAACAACCCGTAGACTGCAAATGTAGCCGTATGCAGCTCAGACACCATGTCGGCAAACAGTGAAGAGGTTTTTGAGCGGGATGAAGACATGTCGTCCTGGAGTTCGGCGTTCGCGCCGGTCAGTAAACCAGCAGATTCTCCGAAGAGCAAGCGCAAGAAGCATAAGAAGCGGAAGAAGGTGAAGAAGAGACACTCCACGACACAGGAGCGCAGGCGATGTGACAAAGAAGAGACCAAGAAGCGAAAGAAGAAAGAGAGGAAGTCGGCATCAGTCCCGGAAGATGCCGACAATCGGGCAGAGCAGTTGCCCTCCTCCAGCTACACCGCCCGAGACCCTCAGGAGCAGGAGGGTTCAGCCCACGAAGGGCTTCCCGCCAACTTGGGCAGGTGGGTCTTCCATGCCTCTTGGGAACCGACAGAAGAAGGAGACCAGCCGGAAGCGCCTCCCAAACGCAGTCCGGGGAGAGCAGCTGCGAAGATGCTGGTTCGCGCCGGCCTTCGCTGTAAATGTCATTTCGCTCTCGACTGCCCCTCTCGAGAAGGCAACAGGCACGGTCCCCAGAAGTCACTTCCTGTCGTTTTCAGACACATTCCTTGAGCAACTCTGGCCCGCGAGGGATCGCTAACACGGGCAACTCGTGTTCGAGGCCAATGCAGTGACGTGCAGGGCTGGGAGAGTTTCCTGCGTGAGCAAGACGCACCCTCGCAGAAGCCTATGATGTTTATGCTACTCGAGCCGGCTCAAGAGCTTTCAGTTTTCACCTTCGTTTCACCCTCCGTCTCACAATGGTGACGCCATTCAGCTTCGGCGCATCGCCCTACCTCCCCACTCGCATGGGCAGAGGTCGCAGAGACGACTCCGACTCCTCTGACAGTGAGGAGATGATTCCGACGATCTACGGGCTCATGCCCATGAGGCGAAAAGCTAAGAAGAACCGCAAGCACAAGAAGAGCAAAGAGTCCAAAAGAGACCGACGCACCAAGAAGAAGGCGTCGAAGAAGCGCGCACCCAAGGCAAAGAAGAGCTCGTACAGCTCTGAATCCTCCTCGTCCTCGTCTTCGCCGGAACGCCGCCGCCACAAGCGCAAGGAGCGTGCGGAAGCCGCTCCCTCGAGCCACAAGGGGGAGTCTTACCACACACCGTCCTTTACGAAGGACCATTCCTTTGGAAGTGGCAAATGGGGCGGACAGAGCTCCGGGTGGAAGCAGCCAGGCTGGCACTCGAACAAACAATGGCAAGCCAAGTCCTGGCAGCCCAGAGGCTCCGGCAAGCCCTGGAACACTTGGACGGCGCATGAGAAGGGTTACCAGTGGAAGCTCCCCGAACAGGAAGAAGAAGCCGAAGATAGGGAGGAAGCTTCCATGCAGGAAGCACTCATGAAGAGTGCAATGGAGGAGGCGTGGTCCGACCGCACTCGGACTTTGTCCTACAGTGAACTCCCGGCGGATCAGCGCGGCCCCCCCTACAAAGAAGTCATGGAGAATGTGGAAGCTGATGACATCGAGCGCATGGCCGCGCGGATCAAGGAGCACTCCCGCCTCCCGGAGGCAATGATCAACTATGTGTCCCGGTTCCTGGCCTCCCTCCCCGACGGGACGCTGCCGCAAGAGTTGAAATGGGCGCAGCATTCAGGATCGCATTTCTCCGCCTCGATCCTCGAACTGGAGCTTAAACCCGACATCGCCGCGCCGGAGCAGCTCCAGATCCCGGACCCCGTCCACTCGCAGAGTCTGACGGCCGCTCACGGCACGAAGTGGTCCTCGGCTCACGGCATTTTGAGCCAAAAGATCATCCGCCCTCAAGCAGCTCAGACCGACCAGTACCCGCCATACGGGTTCTTCGCCCGTGGCAGCTGCGAGCAGTACTCCTCGCACACGGCAATGAAGGCCCTGGAAGGGGTTGCGAGGAAAGCAAAGGCCTCGGGAAGTGGCATCGCAATTTTGGTGTCCGCAAGGGCACACGCGGTCCAACTCTTGGAAGGAGGCGTGGGCAAGCTTCATGCAGCTTGCAGAAGAGACTGGGCGGCGCGATCCTCATCGGACCAAAGTCTGTGCATCAGGTCGGAGGGCGCGACCATAAAGGCCGTGGCGTTCATGTGGCCGCGGTAGTTGCCTCCAAATCTTTTCATCTAGTTCAGTCCGAGGGACTCGAACGACCTCGGGAGATTTTGTTGTCGGGGCTCCCGGGATGATGACGAACTGCGCAACCACCGCCGAGAAAAGAAGCCGAAGCTGCCGCTTGGCTTGGAGATTGCACCCACTGAAGCGAGCATACTCCTTCGGATCATCGGATGCTAGGAAACTTGATGCATTCCCAAGGAAGACCGCCCGCGCCTCAGCAACGTCAAGCCGTACTTGAGTCATGTAAGGGTTCCAAGCATCGAGTGTCAGGAAAGACAGTGAGGGAGCATCCCAGAGAAACTGCCCACAGAAGGGCGAAACTGGCCCTGAGTGTGCCGCGGTAAATCGCTCTGGGAGTCAGAGCTGTGACGTTTCGCGAAGAAGCAAGCTTCGCTAGAAGTCCTCCGAGCAGAGGAAAACGCAGCGGGGAGATCCGCAAAACTCGCCGTCGCATGTCGCAGTTGTTTTCTGCTGAGCCTCTTGCCGTGTTGCCTTTGTCCGTGCAATTTCCTCGTTTGTCCCTGCGTTCTGCTCGAGCAAGCCGTGTCACAGTTTTGAGCCACGCTGAAAGAGAATGTATTGCCAGGACGGGCCGAGGAGCCCTTGCTAGATCACGAGGTGGAGTAGCCTCACAAAGAAGCGAGCCTACGGCATTTAGGGAAACTGACAGGTGTGTCGTGTCAGTCTCACCCAGCAGCATGGCGGAAGAGAGTGAAATCGACAGGCTGCTCGATTTGGAGCGGCTAGCAGAGTTGGAAGATCCAGGTGAGTTGGATCAGTGGCCAGAGCAGGAACGGCCCGAAGCAACATTAGCGCTCACGCCAGCTGAGTCAGAGCTTTTCTCTGCATCGGCCAGTGCCCGGCCCCAAAACCAGCAAAGTTCGCCGAGCGGCGTGCTTCAAGGGCGCGAGTACGAGCAGGCCCTGCAAGGCTGCTTGTTGAGGGCTGCTAAACGGCCAAGAATAGTCATGCCTTGGGAGACCCCCTTGATGCGGGACATTTTTGGAACCACTGAGCCCCCGGTCGTGGTGCCGCAAGCTCAGTTACAAACCACAGCCCCGCCTTCCGAGCCGGACCGAGACCCGGGCGAAGCCATTGGCAAGATACTTATGCCACCCAGAGCGGGGGCGTCATCCGCTTTGTCGGCAGTCAAGAACCGCCCCAACGTGAATTTCCCCAAGAGTGAACAAGCTTCAAGACTGAAGGGAATCTCTCTGTGGTGCGACGTCATAGGGGTCGCTCCACAACACTTCGGCATCACCAGGCACGTCCAGCTATCGGACGAAGACAACGGCGGCCAAGTCGCCACCGAGCTTTTCACGTGTGTCGATGCAGTGATGGGGGTCAAAGCCCCATCCACCATCAACTCTAGAGGGATGGTTGTGAAAAGGTACCTTTATTGGTGCACGCAGAACGACAGGTTAGCATGGCCGATGAAGGAAGCAGTGTCGTTCGATTATGTCCACCACCTCAAGGCACTTGGTGCTCCAACCGCTCCGGCCTCATTTCTGCAGGCGGTAAACTTCATGATCTACACGATTGAACCCGAGGGAGCAACGGCCATCATTTCCAGCTTCCTGATTCAGGGAGTGGCTAAGCAAGCCTCGAGCAAGAAGAGACCATTGAAGCAGGCGCCGGCGCTTACCGTCGCCATGGTACTGCGCTTGCACGCCATCCTCAGGAACACATCTGAAGGAGTTTTTGACCGGCTAGCTGCAGGACTCATGCTCATGTGCGTGTATGGACGCTGCAGATGCTCCGACCTCAGACACATTGAGGAGATATGTCTGGACATTACAGGGAGGCACGGCTTTATCGAAGTCCGGACGGAACATCACAAGACAGCCAACAGAGAAAAGAGAAGGCTCCTGCCCATCGTAGCTCCAGCCTTTGGAGTCACAGACGAGAACTGGGCCGAGCAGTTCCTAACCTTACGGAAGCAAGTCCTCGGCGAATTTGCGCCCGGGCCATTCCTCCCCGCTCCTCTTTCTGACGACTCCTTCTCTGAGCGCAGCCTCGAGAGTGACGAATTCACGTCGTTGCTGCGCTACCTACTAAGGCAGCTGGATAACGTAGAAGATCTCACGTCTCACAGTTGTAAGGAGACGGTGCTGGCATGGATGGCCCGCTTCGGGGCCGACAAACCCACCTTGGAATTCCTAGGTCGGCACGTGGGGAGCATTACGTCGAGCGACGTGTATGCCAGGGGGATGCAATCCCGGCCTCTGCGAAAGCTCGCGATGGCTCTAAACGCCATACGGGCGGGTACATTCCTGCCCGATGAGACAAGAAGCGGTCTCTTCAGGTCCCGCCAGGACAGCCGGCCCATCGAGACGGGCATTAACTCCCGTGGGGAACCATCAGAAACGACGTCTGCCTGGAAGGTAGTCTCGAACGAAGAAGAAAGGAGTCCTGCCTCTCCTGATCGAGACCAGGAAACAGCATCATTGCCGTCGGCAGCACCAGCCCCGGTGTCGGAGGAGGAAGCCAACAGCGGTGCTGAGGTTCCAAAAGAATCCGGTGCAGGCAGCACGTCGGATTCCTCGGACAGCTCTTCCTCAGAGTCGGAATCACAATCTTCCCAAGAATCAGCAGTCATGCCTCCGCCGGGGGCCGGCAACTTGTTTTTCCTGAATCCTAAAGGGAAGGTCCACATACTGGCAAACGAGTCAAGCCAGACTTTTAAGTGCGGCAGGAAGTGGCACGGCAGCATGATACCTGTCAGGTCACTAGGGCAGGGAGCCGAGACCTGCTCGCAATGTGATCCGAGTGCTTTTCCAATTCGCACAAGGGCGGACCTTATTGAAGCGATCAACAAGAAGCTCAAGCGGTGAATAAAATGCACCTCCAGTAGTTGAGAGTGAGTTATCGAGTCGAATCTCAGCTGCGGTGATGCCGCAGCCCCCCTTTTAAGAATCAAGAGATTGGCTAAAGCCTCAAATCATGACCTCACTCCTGGACAGCGAAGCTCAGTTCCTGCAGCGCGCTGCTGAGCTTGGCATACCGGATGCGGCGGCACAGGCGTTCAAGAGGCACGGTTTGGCGACACTCAATCGCTATGGTTTTGCCCACGGTCAGCCGGGGCAGCCGATCGACGAGACCCTATTCAACACCTTTTTCGAAGGCATCGCCGGGGTAGGGCAATCGCTGAGAACATTGTCAGCAGCCAGGAACCTTCTGTTTGAGGCCCACGTGTTTATCAGCGCCAGCCTCAAGAACAGGGTTGAAGCGACGGCCGACACAGCAAAGCCGGTCCCGAGAGCGGAACGCAGCGCGAGGCTCGACAGCCTTCGTGCAAAGTACCCAGGTCTCGAAATTTCCAAAGGTCTGGAGCCAGGGCACGCCATGCTGGATTCGGCCTCGCATCAAGCTGAGTCCAAAATACTCAAGTACATGCCGCCCTCCAGGTGTGCATCCAGAGAACAGGAAATGATGAGCAATAAGTCATCGGCCAAGCTCTTGGAAATTGAGGGCTCACAGGTCAAGGTCAAGGAGAACGACAAAGGACTGTTCATCGAGAACAATACCGAGTTCCTGGTCTACCAGGCACTACGCAGGCGCGGCTTGGCATATGAGTTCGCGGATCTCGTCACATTCACCGTCCACCAGAAATGGGTGGATTGGCTGTTCGGAGAACTATCCAAAGAGCAACCGGCCCGGTTCCAAAAAGTTCAGATGTTCCAGATCCTGCGAGCAGACAAGGCAGCCTGGCTTCACATGGCTGACGTGGTAAAGGATATCAGACCGTCAGACGGCACTAGACCTATCGACGCCGAGTTCGCCAGGTTGCCCACGGTACACTCGGTCGTGTTCGCACTCCTGCCCTTGCAGCAGTTCAGCCCAAAGGGAGGTGACCAGAAGGGCGACCGGGCCGGCAAGGGCAAGAATGGCAAAGGTTGGAAGGGCAACAGGCCGTCTCCGTATGACATGCCGCATCAAGACACGTGGTTTAGTCGCAAGGGAGGCAAGGACCGGAACTCCAAGGGCAAAAGCAAAGGGAAGGGCAAGGGCAAGCACCAGCAGGATAACTATGAGGCTCCTCGCATGCCCAAGCTTTTGCTTGGCCTTCACTACAAGTGCCCCACGTCTGGGAGGCCCATCTGCTTTGGGCACAACTTACCCGGGGGATGCCCCGCGGGGAAGAACAACGAGTCCGAATGCGACCGAGGCTTGCACATTTGCTCCAAGTGCCTGGGCTCTCACTCGTACAACCAGTGCCCGCAGCGGCAGACGAACTGACCATCACAGACAGAGGGCCTCTATCCCTCCTTGAATTTAGGAGGGAAAGTTTTCCAGTCATGCTTCGCCCTCGAGCTTTTCGCGGGCACCGCGGGCATCACGGCCGCCATGAAGAGTGTCGGCCTGTCAGCAAGTTTTGGCATCGATAGTTTTCTTTCTCCCTCTAGAAAGGGGCCGGTGATAAGGTTGGACCTTTCACTTGAGGCCTCTCAACACCTTGTTTTCCAGATTTTAAGTTCAGATCAGCTAGTTTTTGTGTGGATGGCGCCACCTTGTGGAACGTGTTCGCGGGCCAGGGAGATCGCCATGAGCACCTCTCGCTACGGACCAAGACCTCTCCGTTCGGATGATTTCCCAGACGGACTGCCGCATCTACTTGATCACGAAGCAGAACGTGTGAAGAAAGCAAACGAGCTGTACAAACTTGTGACTCAAGTGTGCATTAGATGCACGGACAAGCAACTCCCCTGGACGGTGGAGAACCCCTTCTCCTCCTTGTTCTGGCGAACCTCTTTCTGGACCGAGGCGCAATCTCGGTGCAATCCGAGATATGTGCAATTTCATTCGTGCATGTATGGAAGCGATCGCAAGAAGAACACCGCTCTGGCCTTTTTCGGCAAAGTGCCTCTGGACAGACTCCATGCTGAATGTGACAACAGCCACGCTCACAAATCATGGGGATGGTCCCATGAGGACCAGACCTTCTCCACTTCTTTGGAGTCGGCGTACCCGGCCAAACTGTGCAAGCAAGTGGCTCATGCTGTCAAGGATGCCTGCGAGGCAGACAATTTTGTCATGGAACCTCTAGACATGTTGCGGGCATCGCAACTGCCGCTTGCGGCAGAGAAAGTCTCAAGAGCAATGGCATCCGAGGGTACCACGAAGTCCAATCTACCCAACTTCGTTCCAGAATACCGGGTGATTCTCAAGGCATTCATTCCGAGATCTTCCTGTACGTGGCGCATCAAGGATTTCATCGAGCACCCTTTGATCACCCCGCAGGTCACCATTCCCGAAGGCTCCCGTCTGCTGGAAATCTCTCCCAGAACAGAAGGGGAGAACTCCACGATTCCAGCAGAAGCGGACACAATCTGCACATTTGGAGTGCCTTGGAGCCCCGGCGAGTTCCTGAAGGAAGCGGCGGGAAGAGGACACCCAGCCGACGCGATCTCGACAGTGCCTGAACCACTGAAAAGATCCATTTGGGAACTTGCGGCTGACGATCCATCGGCGGTCGCTGAAAGGCGAGCGTCCTTCTTCCGCAAATGGATGTCGGTTGCTTCGGAGCTCTACGAAGAGGAAAAGGCCTTGAAGGACTCGATGGACGAGGGAGTAAGGTCGGTAGTAAAGGACAAGAAGATCCTGCTCTTCAAGGAGATGGTGAACGCATACGAGCTGAACGATGCTGAAGCACACAAACTCTTGGAAGAAGGTGTTGACCTTACGGGCGAAATTCCGATGTCGAACGACCTGCCCAAGAGGTACACCCCGGCCACGATCCATGAGAGCGAGCTCGAAGCTCTTGCTCCGGTCATCAAGGATGCAGCGCTCTCAAGGGCTCTTGGAGCCGCGGAGGGCCTATCCAAGGAAGTGTGGGAGAAGACCATAACGGAAGTTTCGAGGGGATGGCTCAAGGGACCCATGGAGCCTGATGATGCCGATGCGCCCTCGGTCGTGTCTAATCGCTTTGGGGTTAAGCAGAGGGACAAGGTACGGTGCGTCGACGATATGTCGGCTAGTTTGATAAACGCTACCACCTTCGCGGAGGAAAGGATATCTCTTCATTCCGTAGATGTCATGGCTTCCGCTGTGGTTGAGTGGTGCGACGCCAGAGACGCCGCGCAGAGGCCTCGCGACTTGACCGCTAAGAGCTTCGATCTTAAGTGGGCCTTCAAGCAGATGGCAGTGTCGGCGAGCTCCAGAGACAGGGCGGGACTAGTCATCAAGGACCCGTCTGGCTGCCCCAAGGTCTTTACATCGCTGGCCCTGCCCTTCGGGGCCACTCAGAGTGTATACGCCTTCAACAGGATGAGCAGGGCACTGTGGACCCTAGGAGTCGTGGCCCTCAGTCTCATGTGGACGGTTTTCTTTGACGACTTTTGCCTGTTTTCGGAGCCCGCCCTGGAGAAGAGCTCGGACCTGGCTGCAAGGTCCCTCTTCGATATCCTTGGATGGGTGTATGACACCTCTGGCGAGAAAAACACGGTCTTCGGTAGGACACTACACGCTCTAGGAGTCAGCGTCAACCTGAGACATCTCACCAAGGGATCGCTACTCATCAGCAACACTGAGGCAAGAATCAGTGAGCTCGTGAGCGAGCTCTCAAACATTCTCGACAGGGGAAGAATATCGAGATCCGAGGCCAGGCACATGGCGGGGCGAATGAGTTTCGCCGGAGGGCAAATCTTCGGTCGACTCCCGAAGTCCTGTCTTAAAGTATTCTACTCCGTTTTGGAACGGAACTCTACCGCAATTGACGGAAGCATCTCCGCAGCACTTCGGATGTACATTGACATCGCTCAGTTCGCCCCAGCGAGGACGATTCTCCTGGGTCAGAGGCCCTGCGTCTTTATATACACTGACGCGTCCCTGGAACCGACTAAGGAAGGAAACGTCGCGGGAATAGGCGGAGTCCTGTGCGGACCCACTGGAGAGCCCCTGAGGTTCTTCTCGTACTTCCCTAGCTCAGCTGAGCTTGCTGAGGTGGGAATAGACCTAGAGTCTAAGTGCATCTTCTTGCTCGAGTTGGCTGCAGTCTGCTTGGCGTTCAAGGCTTGGGGCGAGGCCCTCAGAGGAATGAGAGTCGTATGCTACTGTGATAATGAAGGCGCCAAAGCCTGCCTTATGACTGGAGCAAGCGCTAACAGAGTCGCAAACGACTTGCTGAAGCATCAAGCCGCATATGAGCTCAAGACGGGGACTGTACCCTGGATCGCGAGAGTCCCGTCAAAATCGAACATCGCGGATGAACCCTCGAGAGTTAGGATCGAGGCTCTCACAGACTTTCCCGACGCAGTACGGTCCACGGTAAGCGTCGATCTTATAAAAGATGGGGAAAGTTCTCTCCGCTTTCAGTGACCCGATCTGTCGGGACAAAGATCTTGGAATGACTCACAAGGACGGAGACTTCGTCATCCCCACATGGAAAAAGAGAGAGCGATCTGCGTGGAAGATATTTGATTGAAGATTCTTTTATTGAAGATATTCCATTTGATTGAAATTTTCTGCCGGTCCTGTGAGTGATAAGCTTACGTGCGAGGGACGAGTTAGTGTTTTATCACGATCATGGAAAACAAACAAGGAACGTGTTTGTTTAGGCAGAAACGTTTTGCTGCATTGAGCATGTGTGATGTGCCTGCATGTGAACGTTGCTCAAGTCGGAGCCGGGCAGAAAATTTCGAAAGCCCGCCCACCCGCACCTTTTTCTTCAGTCATGCGAGTCTTACAAATTCCAGAGATCTGGTGCACCGTCAGCTTGTACCTGAGGACCAGAAGACAACGTCGCCTCAGCGCGACTGCCAAGGTCTTCCGAGCGCTGTTCAGGCGTTGGTTTCAACCAACAGGCTTCACTGACAGCAGCGAGTACGAAGAGGAGGAACCAGAAACCTCTCCTGGCAATTAGTCCACTTCTCAGAGAGCGCACAGCCGAAGCTTCGTCACCCTGTCAGGCTGTAACCTCTAAGGCTGAACCTTTGAGCGGGGGGGGAAAGTTCTCTCCGCTTTCAGTGACCCGATCTGTCGGGACAAAGATCTTGGAATGACTCACAAGGACGGAGACTTCGTCATCCCCACATGGAAAAAGAGAGAGCGATCTGCGTGGAAGATATTTGATTGAAGATTCTTTTATTGAAGATATTCCATTTGATTGAAATTTTCTGCCGGTCCTGTGAGTGATAAAGAATTTTTATAGAATAGTATAGGAAGAGTGACCACAGAGGGGGTTTGGACACGAGTCCAGGTGGCCAAGTACCATCTGGCCTGGGTGAGCTATGCTCCGACGTCCGGCAAGTACACGAATGCCTCGTACTCCAAGGACCACCTGAAGCTCCACACCGACTTCCAAAGGCCTAAACTTTTTAAACCCTGTAAACCCTCTCTATAACCCCTCTAAAAACCCTATATACCCTCTAAACCCTCTAAACCCTCTAAACCCTAAACCATAAACCATAAACCCTAAACCGCGGCCCTGAGGAACCCGCAGATGGTCTTCGAGAGCCCCGAGCCCGAGAGTAGCTGGTGGCCTGTGGTCCTGCTCCAGAGGCCTGAGGATCCCGAGTTCGAGAACTTGGCGAACATCGCGGGCACCCAGACCATCCTCATCATTTGCTGGTACCAGATCATGGAGGACGGCTTCTGGGTCTGGGTGATGACCATCGAGGCGATCTGAAGCACTCGTCATTGCCATTTTGAGCTCCCACACAAACTCCCCTGTTCCTTTCTTGGTGTTACACCGAGTCAGGGCAGGGGAGGGAGTGTGGGAGCCCCCTGTCCGTTTCTTGGTGTGAGTTGTGTGGATGTTATTTATTACTTATAATGAGCTCCCACACAAACTCCCCTGTTCCTTTCTTGGTGTTACACCGAGTCAGGGCAGGGGAGGGGGTGTGGGAGCAGGGAGGCAGTATCATAGGGGTTGACATATATTTATTACTTATAATGAGCTCCCACACAAACTCCCCTGTTCCTTTCTTGGTGTTACACCGAGTCAGGGCAGGGGAGGGGGTGTGGGAGCAGGGAGGCAGTATCATAGGGGTTGACATATATTTATTACTTATAACTATTTGCCACCAAACACAGAACATGGATAGTCACACCGAGTTATATAAGGCAGGGGAGGCCAGGCACGGCCATCGCACACAGGTGTAGCATCTTCTGCACCCCGAAAAAAGCCTCTGTGTGGCTCGGGCTGCCGTCTTGCTTCTCTGTTTCACCTGTGACTCACGGCCTTGTGCCTTCGCAAAAATCTCTATGCAGGGCGGCAGCTACATGTGTGTTTGATGGACGTGGTGTTGCAAATGTGGTGGTACGGCTGATAACATCGATTTGTTCTTTGTGCTTTTGCTGCCGCAGGAAATCCTTCGATGCCTGTGGGACATCATCTGCAAGCAGCAAGCCTCCGCCAAGGCTCGGGCAACTCGAGACATGTGTTTGATGACATTGTAGTGCCCAATGTGGTGGTACGGCTGATAACATCGATTTGTTCTTTGTGCTTTTGCTGCCGCAGGAAATCCTTCGATGCCTGTGGGACATCATGTGCAAGCAGCAAGCCTCCGCCCAGGCTCGGGCAACTCGACATGTGTTTGATGACATTGTAGTGCCCAATGTGGTGGTACGGCTGATAACATCGATTTGTTCTTTGTGCTTTTGCTGCCGCAGGAAATCCTTCGATGCCTGTGGGACATCATCTGCAAGCAGCAAGCCTCCGCCAAGGCTCGGGCAACTCGACATGTGTTTGATGACATTGTAGTGCCCAGGCTGTCAATAGCTCGAGTACAATGGGGGGGAACCCAAAACCCCAAGCTTGACGGGTTTGAAGGGCTTTACAGAGGTGTGGAGATTTGGGCTTGAGAGCTTTCCCTGCCCTAACTCGGTGTAACACCAAGAAAGGGACAGGGGACTGCTATGATACCCCCCCTAAACCCTAAACCCTAAACCCTAAACCGTAAACCCTCAACCCTAAACCGTAGCCCTAAACCCTCAACCCCTAAACCCTAACCCCTAAACCCTTCCCCTGGTTCAGGGTTAGGGTTTACTCTAGAGCTATATAGCTTTCAGAGCCATCAAGGGTTCAGGGTTAGGGTTTACTTTAGTGCTATATACAGTTTTTTCAGAGCCATGGCTACTCGTTTGGATCGTTTGATGGCAGTCCAACGGAAACCGAGCAACAAGCGAGTGTGTGCTGACTCGACTGTGTCGGTGTCAGATGTGCAAAAATGCCTCACCAGGCATTTGAGGGACAAGAGCACCACAGACCTCTGGTCATGCATCGTTCCGGGCCCGGATGGGCCCCGTACATGGACTTTCAGAAAAAGCGCTGATGCCCGGTGGATGGCGAGATTTGCCTCCCTGGCCTTTGACCTGGTCAGCGATGTTTGTCGAAATTCCAAGATACTCAGCAGAGTTATGACTCCAGCAATCGAAGCTTGCATGTTGAGCGGTGATGTTACCAACAACAGCGGCCAGGACAAGAACAAGTTCACTGCCTCTGTTGATATCACGATCAGAATATTGCTCAGCTGGTTTCGCCAGCTGAAAGTTAACAAGAAGAAACGGGACACCGCTTTCAGGCGGCTTTCTGAGGCAGAGAAAGCCAAAGTCACAATGGTCATGGATAAGATCGAGCTGAATGAGGAGGAGGCTGAAGAGGCTGCCAAGGAAGAAGGTGGCTCTGAGTCCGATGTGGACCTGACCTTTATGGTTTCTCTTGATTCCCTGTGTACGACAAACACAGCAGTGGATCATAACTCGACGACCTCTGTCGAGATCTTCGCGACCGAGGAGAGTTCTGGATTGCACCGAATGTTCGACAATGTCCTCATGTCTCCTTCCACTCCTCCTCCTTCCGGTGGTGCTCCTTCCGGTTCTGCTCCTTGCGGTTCGGATCCTTGCGGTTCGGCTCCTTCCGGTGCTGCTTCTTCCGGTGCTGCTGCGGCAGAGCAGCCGGTGACTCTGAGCAACTTGGATCTGATTGCTTTGGCCAGAAGTCGCAGGCCTGCATTCACGGAGACCAAGACAGCTTCAGGATCGAAGCCGAAGGCCAAGGCCAAGGCCAAGGCCAAGGCCAAGGCCAAGGGTAAAGCCCAGGCGACGGCCGTGGTTAAAAAGAAACTCAAGTCGAAGGCGGTTCAGAAGAAACCGGCGGCTGCGGTTGCAAAGGCCGTGCCTTCCGAACCGGCGGCGGCGGTTGCAAAGGCCGTGCCTTCCGAAGCGGCGGCGGCGGTGGCAAAGGCCGTGCCCGGTCAGGCCGAGCAAATCTTTACTGCTCCGGATGGTGCTGAGTATATGTTCATGATGTACGACAGAGGGGTTCCGACTGAGAGGATTGCCATCTGTGAGTGGCTCGGCACGAAGAGGGGCCATCAGCTTCTGCAGGTGTCCAGAGTGGGCCTGGCTTCAGAAAGGAGGGCAGCGATTGCTCGGGAGCTCATGGACATGCTGGTTGCTGGCAAATCCCTGCAAGATGTGATAGCCCGGAAGTTGGAGCTACTTAGGGCCGTGTAGTATGATCGCCCTTTTGATGTGTACAGCACGTGGCTGCCAACTCCCCTGTGCCTTTCTTGGTGTTACACCGAGTTAGGTCAGGGGATACAGCACGTGGCTGCTCGCGATTCGCTGTGTGCCCACAGCCGCAAAATCTCGTGCACCCCTGTGCTGTCTCATTTCTCTGCGGTTGATGCACCGAAATCGTTCGTCTCTCTCTCGCAACGTGTTTGTCAGTGTGTGCATATAGTGCATGGAAGCAAAAGAACGGGGCAGACTCGGTCGCATGTCGGTTGTTACAATCAAGCCACGAATCCAAAAAAGCATTGCCCCCGGACTCGCACAGTGTCCGGTTTGGACTCCTCTGCTGGAGAAGTGGTTGAGAAGTGGAAGGCCGGAGGGTGCTAGGTCGTGGCGCTTTTCGGGTTTCGGGCACACAGCGGTTCCTGTGACTTCGATTTCCTTCTCCGAACCACATCCTTGGAGGGTCTAGAGGATTCATGACGAAGGTGTGTGTTTTGGGTTCGCGGGGTTAAGAGAGAGTTCTCGGGTTAAGGGCTGGCAGGTTCGTTTCACAGGTTTATGGGGTTGGGGTTATATATATAAGGGCAGAGGGGTTCGATTTTTGGGTATATATAGCCCTCCCCCGCCCTAACTCGGTGTAACACCAAGAAAGGAACAGGGGAGTTTGCTTGTTCATCGGGGGGTGGCCATCGCTGCCAGGACCCCATGCTGGTCGGATGCCGTGTGGTCGCAGAGGAAAACATCACAGAAATAGTGTGCTTCTGTGTGCAGTGGAGAGATGTGTGTGGAATTTCGAGCTCCAAAGCAAACTCCCCTGTTCCTTTCTTGGTGTTACACCGAGTTAGGGCAGGGGAGGG